CTAATAATTCTATAATTAAATAAGTGACATATAACAATTTTTATTATTAAATTTAACATTTAAAATGTCAAAGGTGTAATAATTTATAAAATAAGAAATTATTTTAAAATGAGATAATTATTCGTATTAAGATTTATGTAATTTACTAAAAAAAATTAAACATTAAAAAAATAATAAGATATTATTTTATTAAAAATAGTAACAATAATTTGTCATGATTAAAAACACAAGTTGTGAGTTATTTGATTAAATTAAAATAATTGAATATTGCATAAAAGTTTAACCTTTTTTTTTCTTTTTTTACTTTTTTTTTCGAATTAAAGTAAAATTGTTCATTAAATTTAAAAGAAATAAAGTAAATGCTATATAAGTTAAATAAAATTATGTATATTTGTACACATATATATAATATGGACACGGTGCGAGGGACTTGAAGTCTATATAAAAGGGCGAGATTCCCTTATGACAGTCTGTCTGTCTCATCTCGTGGCCCTGCTTCCTTACCTCTCTTCGTCTTCTCCCTCTCCTTCTCCAGTCTCTCTTTCTCTCTACAATTTTTCTCCTTCCTTCCTCTTCCTCTTCCAAATATTGACATTCCATGGCTTCCATCATTGAATCCGGTTGGCTGGTAATGTCTTTCTCTCTCTCTCTCTCTCTGTCTCTCTCTCTCTTTCTATATCTCTCTCGCTGTTCACGAAAATATTACATGTATGTATCGACGAGTGTCGCTTTCCCTGTTTGGATGATTCTCTTCAGATTTCGAGATGTTCTCGTTGTTTTTTAGCCTTAGATTTGTTATCTCCGATGTTCGTTCTTATTTTTGGATCTGTATTAGTATTTTTCTGCGCCTGCATATTGAGGATTGAAGTGTGTGATTGCTGTTGCTGGTGTTGTGTCTTGTTGATATTCTGCAATGGCTGCAGCATTTGATGTTGATGTTTGATTTGAAGTGATAATTGAGGTGGTTGAACCTTTTAAAATTTTTAATGTTGTTTCAATTTGTGATTTCTATTTTGGCTGCACTTAGTGGTCTTCTAGATTAAAAATGAGGTGGTGCTAACTGGATCTTCTTCTTCCATGAGTGATTTGTTAAGAAACTGTTATCAATTTGATGATGATAATTCTCGTTTCGAAAAACCTGTTGTTTATTTTTGGTGTACTTGTTTGACCTCTGGATTCTGATTAGGAAACAAATGATGCTTAGGCCTGTGTAAAGAATGTAGTAGCGCTCTTCTTCCTCGTTTAATTTCTTCATGGTTCCACCTTTCAACAGTCCTGTTGTACTGTACTTTTGTTTCTATATGGGAAAGTTAGTTGATGTTTTTTGCATGGAGGAATGTAGATGTGTTGTTTTCCTCGTGAATTTGTCTGGTCTGTAATCAGGATCAGTTTTGATAATATCTTGAATTAGTTCATACAGGGTTTCCTATTCATGCTCTTGATAGAGTAATTTTGGAAGAGTGAGGCACATTTCCTGAAGCTTTTTTTTTTAATTGTTGCAGTATCTTATCACTCATTTCACTGATTTCCAACTAGCATGCCTAGGAAGTTTCTTTCTTCACGAAAGTGTCTTTTTCTTATCTGGTCTTCCCTTCATATACCTGGAAAGGGCAGGATGGCTGAGCAAGTACAAGATTCAGGTTTGTTCTTTCTTCTTTTCTGTAATTACTGTCATGTTAGTAAAATTTTCAATGTGATTAGTGGTCGTTTTCTTTTCTGTCAGTAAGAAGAGAGAGAAAAAAAAAAAAAACACCTCCAAACTGTAGCCAGTTGGTGCCTTAAACTCAGTATATTCATCTACACTGCTTAATTTCTTGGTACTGGAGACAATTACATTTCTCCAGAAGTTATTTTCAATATCTTATTCAATATCAGAGGATAGAAGAAGGAAAAAGAAAAATCTTGCAATACCTTTTGATTGTTCACTTAATTTTTTACGGTTATATGCCAGTGATTTTTAAACTTTTGGAGTCAATATTCCTAGGAATCTATCGAAGAGCAGTTTTCAGCAGATTAACTAAGTACCTTTAGTAGTTTTACACAAAATATTTGAAGTTTGATTGTCTGATATTATTATAGATTTTGCAATCTCAAATAAATTTTGCATAGTAGCTGAATGTAGGGATGTTGTTGATAATAAATATCCTATGCAAAATATGTTTCTGGTTCTGCTAATTAGTTCATGAATTTACATATAGATCTATTATTAGCTACAATCAACATGTATTTGTGATTTTCATCTTGCTTGGCCCACATGCTTCTCTTACTAATTTTTAGTTCTGAACAGACCAAAAACAACAGTCCTGCAGCGCAGGAAAAATGTATAACTCGTTTGCTGCTCTATCATTTTGGTGTCAACCTACCAGTGATGATTTTTTCCTATCCTGTCTTCAAATACATGGGCATGCGTAGTAGTCTTTCCCTTGCCGTCCTGGTATTTTCAGGTTCTTTATATGCTGAAGCTTATTTTGGTTCTGATATTGTAGTATGTAATGTAATTTTCAGTCTGCAATACTGCTGTTCCATCATTTTCTACACGTTTCTTTACGTGAAACCGGGTTAATAGGATCCTACTTGTGGTTATGCAGGAAGGTAGTGTCTGCGCAAATAATATTTTACTTCATTCTTGAGGACTTTGTATTCTACTGGGGGCATCGAATCCTACATACGAAATGGCTGTACAAGCATGTGCACAGCGTCCACCATGAGTAAGTTAGAGCATTCAGTGCTTGTTGTCAGGTATTTACTTTCGAAAATGTCATCCCCTTGCTGCTTTTTGGAGGCTGATAAACATTTTTAAAATTCACAGATATGCTACACCATTTGGACTGACATCTGAATATGCTCACCCTGCTGAAATTCTGTTCCTTGGCTTTGCTACCATTATTGGTCCTGCAATAACTGGGCCTCATTTAATGACCCTTTGGTTATGGATGGTGCTTAGAGTCTTGGAGACAGTGGAGGCACATTGTGGTTATGACTTTCCTTGGAGCCTTTCAAACTTTCTACCATTGTATGGAGGGTGTGTATGCCATATCGAACTGGCTTGCTTACTTGAGTTTTTATCTCTTTCTCTCTTCTCTATTGTCTTGATGTTTTATGTGTAATTTACGAGAATTTCTTTTCCATAAATTTCTGCAGTGCTGATTTTCATGACTATCATCATCGCTTGCTCTACACAAAGTCTGGAAACTACTCATCTACTTTTGTTTACATGGACTGGTGAGTTTTCCAGTACATGTCTGAAGCTTGCATGTCTCATTGTGGCTAGAATTTAAAATGCAGCAGCTTCTGATATTTACTTCTGTCATGTGAGCACTTGGTGGAGTTTATATAGAAGATCTTTGTACTGATTCCATTGTCTCAATATTTTGGCTCTGTCACCTTTTGATGTCTCTGTGTTCGTTTTATTATTCCAGTACATAATCACATACATCTAATTCTTAACCATTCTACAAGCTGATCTTTTAGGTACATCTGAATTACTTAAATAGGCAAGGATAAGTTGTCAGGGCTTGAGTATGATCTACCCTGGACATATTAATTCTTGAACTCTTAATATAGAAAGTGCCCTTTCAAAACAGAAAGACATAACAGCTGATGTAGTTAAATTCTTGATTCTTTCCTTGTTAATTATTGTTTCTAACTCTGATAATTGTATAGGTAGACTACAAAAATTTTTCTTTCTATGCTTGAGTTACTTCTACCCTACCTTGAAAATCTTGAGGGTGGGCATTGCTCAAACCCTAAAACTCGACTTCGTAATTCTACTTTTTTTTTTTGAGATATTCAAAAGAAAGGTCTACTTTGTAATTCTACTTATTAAGACTGTTATCAAAATTAGAAATGTGAATTAACTAGGAATGGGATGAGAATGAAACCAAATGGGACTCCAAAGTATTGCTAATAGAGTTATAGACTTATTGGTGATTTTATCTCTAAGAGGTTATTGGTTTTCTTCTCATTCAATAAATTGTGTTTTAGCTACTAGCACCCCTTTCTTTAATTCTTTGATCCTAGGAATTTAATTTTTATTTGGAGATGAATTGAAATGCTAACATCAAAGAATTAAATAAGAGGGTAAGGATAGCTTAACTTCAAAAATCATGTTGTAATAATATATATCAAGACTAATATAGAAACTAAATACAAAATTAGTTAGAAGAAAATGGGAATGGAACCAAATAGCCTGATAGACCCAGTATTTAATTGAAGCATGGTTGAAGCAAAATTTATCTATCATTTCCTAAGCATGCAGAGAGGGAGGGATGGTTCAGAACTTGAGTGTAGAAAGCTGTACTGGGGTGGGGAGGGAATGGGTGATTTTGGGGGGAATCAAGTTGGTTAGTTAAAAAATTAATATCTATTAGTAACAGATTGAGATAAAGTTAAATGCAATGACAAAAATAATGAATTATTCATAAATGTTTTTCCTGACTAGATCGTGATTTTTTTTTAAAAAAGAGAGTAAATCTTTATTTGATTATGAAAACTTTATATATTAAGGAAATTGTAAAAAAAATTAGTATAAAAAAATTATTTGTTTAATTGGCAGAATTTATATATTTTTAAGTAGATATTTTGTGAGTGAAAACTTTTGATACTTCAACATTTAGTGCACATGGATGATAGATAATAAGCTGCTCTAACTATTGGTCATGAGCAATGCAAGGGTTCTATTACATCGACTTTGGGGGAGCAAATGAAGTTTGGTTCTATGAGGTAGTCTAGATGAGGATTCAAAGAATATTACTTTCATTGTTTCAATTGTTCCATAAGGTCATGGAGCTCTTGCATGGAGATGTTTCTTTGGAAAAAGAAAATGTTTTTTTCTTTAAGCAGTTCATTTCACTAGAATCTGATGCCTGTTAGTATCAAGTACTCTTGCTCCATGTCATGCTTCGTACTGCATATGATACCTGAGAAGGATATGGAGTATATGGCCTGCATAAACTTTGAGAATCAGATGTTTGTAACCAGAGCTCTCCCGGTATATTATTTTTTCTTCTTATAGTTCTATTTGCCTATGCACTTAATTTATTTTCAAAATAGTCGAGAAGAAATGGATACTGTCTCTAACAAGTATAACATGAGTCAGTTGTGATGTGTTTGATTCTCATTCCAAATATATTGCTCTGCTATAATGAGAAAAGGATAGTGTGATAAATACTTAATTTTGTATCTTCCACTTCTGCATGTTCTCTCAGGATATTTGGCACGGATAAGGGTTACAGAAAATTGAAGGCGCTAAAGGAAGCTGGAGTTGAAGATGGCGACAAGAAGCAAATGTAATACTAGAAATTATATTCTTTTTCATGAGCCTGACAATTGGAAAATGGTTTATTGGTTAAGGGCATCTTAGAAAAGGTCTTGTTCCATCGCTCACTTCATCCCGCGTGCAACCACCTTTTTGTGTTTAGTTGCTGTTCATGTTTGCAGCGTGTGGTAATGTGGAATCATTGAAGAGAATTTATGTAGACATTTTCCATCCTCTTATTCGTTACCTGAGAAAAAAAAAAAAAAGTAGCTGTCATATTTTCAAACTTTTGAGAGCCTGGGTGACTTATTTCATTTTAATTCTTTCTCATGGGCTTGTAACTTATTTGCTTCTTCAAGGTTGATTCTTCTTGTACCTTTTTAGTCATTATCCTTTTGTTGCTTGATTTAGCAACTTAAGGAGTACGGAGAGCCGCTCTCGGCTTCTATAAATTATTGATTTATTCCCCTTTTTTGTACCTAATTTTCGTCAGAGCCACTTAATTGGCATTTTGAATTTGAAGGCACCAAATGATGCAATCTCTATTATAACTTTCCCCTCCCTCTTAACAGATCCAATTGCATTTACTTTTAGAGTAGGGCCCTTTTAGTTTCCAGCAAGATTCCAATCAGCACCACCAACCAACGAATTTTTCCAACAGCAAGAGCTATTCCAGGTGCCTTCTCATGTGGCTTTTCAATTCCACGATCGAACAAGAACATTCATTCTCCAAAACAGGTATATCCTTATGAGATCTTTATTTATTTATTATTTATTTTTTTGGAAGAAATATTCTTACAATATTTGAAATTTATATCAATCAGAACCCTCTTTCATCTTAATTTTAATTATTATAATATTCTTAATATATCAGGACAGTCATAAGAAACTTCACATTTAATTCAGAATTGGATCTTCAGTTAAGCTCTTTTGGATCAATTACATTCTTTGCAAATAGAAATTTATTGCAACTCTGTTGCCGCCCTAACAAATATAGATGAACGTTTATTCGAAAATATAAAGACTTAACTAATAATCAATATTTTAATATAAGATATTTTAAAGTGTAAAAAAAAAATATGCTTTCTCGATCTTCAACCACGGATAGAAAAATAATTCTTAAATAAATAATTTTTAGAAATTATTTTAAGTATTTTATTAATAGAATTAGTAATTCATTTAATTAATTTTGATAGGTTTTGTTATTTAAATTATTAAGGGGTCGTTCTTATAACTTCATCATTTTTATTAAATTTAACACCAAAATTTAATTGTTTTTTTTTTATTTTTCTTTTTACTTGTTTATAAAATGTATTGCTTAGGTTGAATCAGTTCGTCAAACTGGGGTTTTCCCAAAAAAGATCAAATTTCTCTCCATAAGATTCCTCTATTATAGGACGAATACGGTTCTCTCTTCATTCTATCCCCTATGCATGGTATTGTGATGTAGCCACAAGTAAGTAAAAACCTAGGATAGTGAGATAGAGATAGGAATATTTTTACACTTCACCCGTCTCATACTAACCTTAGCCCACCCTATTAAATATTTTTTTACATCTATATACTATTTTTATCATTTCCGCTCAAAAATATATAGTACAAACATTATATTTTATGATTTTTTGTTCAAATTCATGATGCTGTATTTAATTTACTTAAATATAAGTTTATGGGTAATTTACATAGTCCAACAAAATTTATAAATTAAATAAGCGAAGTGAGGTGAAATTATAGAGAGAGAGTGGAGCAAAGTTTCCACTCCAGTGTATGGTAAGAACAGGGGAACACGGTGGAAAACTAGAAGTCCCCTACTCCATGATTCGCCCCATTGTGTCATTTTTATTTTTCCCTAGTTTAGAGAATGAATAAATTATAAATTATAAATTAGTTTGACTTTATTTGAATTTTTATTAAAGATATGAATAAAATTAGGAATGTGATTATTAAGCAGGCAAATCAAGGTAGAAAGGAAACTTGTGGATTGAGACAATTAAGATTCAAAATTTGGAAACAGGGATAAGTATAGTTGTGGATTAGGTCAATCAAATATTAATATATTTCTAGATCATCTAACAATTGAGTTATGAGACTCTTAAAGATATATTCAACAATTGGGATAATTGTTTTTTTTTTTTTTACCTGAAATTAATATAATAAAAAAAATTTCTAAATAATGACATATATTTAGATTTATAATTTTTTTTATAAAAAATAAATATGACATTAGTTAAGTAATTGTCAACTTTAAAATAAAAAATTAAATAAAATAACACGAAAATTAAACTGCAACATATAAAATAAAATTACTTTAAAAAAACCATAATTTTTTAGAGAAAATTATATTCTGAAATTTGTAAGGCATTGTTTGGGAGAGGGGATTAATTAATAATCCTGAATAGGATTAAAAAATATCTTGCTGTTTAAGTTAGATGGTAATATGAAGACTCGTGGAATATTTTATGTTGTTTGAATAGGTGGTTGAAAAAAAAAAAAAAGAGAAGTATAAAATTATTATGTGTAGAAAATAATAATATTCCTATTAGGTATATACTCATAATACCAAAAAAATAATTAAGAATAGCTCAGTCAATTGTCCAAACTTTGTAACCTTCATGTGTGGTTTTTGTTAGAGAACGGGAGTGCAGATATACATTTTTCCCTTCCAAGTTTTCTATTCCATTCCATCACCTTCCAAACATACCCTAAAACAAATTGAAGCAGAGTCATACTCCATCGCAGCCAGACAAACATTTCGTCACATTGATCAGTCCACAGTGATTTGAACATTATCAATTAATTGTACCTCATCCTTCCTCCTACATATTTTCACTAAAAACAATAAAAATGACTTGTTATTATTATTATTATTTTAATCTTTTTTTCCAATACAGTAAGAACTAATAAGAACCATCCTGAAGAAAGTAGATAGAACTCAAATCAAAAGCAATCAATTCATGTTGATCTTTATTAGACGATGAAAACCCACAAAATTCTCTACTTGTTTTGGGGTTTTGCATATCAATTCTTATTGATTTACAACAAATACATAAGTGTTGGGTAATATAAAAATAGGGTTTTCATTTTGCAGCCAATATATGGTTTATATACATATAGATGAATATATATGACCCAAGAAATTTGTCTTGGTATAAATGTTTCACTTGAGTAAAGAAATGTAGCTACCATTTTAGGCAAAGGATATTTTCATTCCAAATGGACAAAAACTCACGGACTCAGAACCTACTTGGGAGTCTCCTTCTCTACCTTCCAATTTTCTTTTTGCTTTTCTTTTTTTCTTTTTTCCATTTCACCTCTTTTTTCTCCTCATCATTTTCTCACCAACCAAACAACTCTCACTCTACTTCTAACTCACCCTCATTAAACTCCATCTTAACGTGCAAACCCCCAAAAAAAAAAAAAAGAAAAATAAATAAATAAAATAAAAGAGAGAGAGCAAAAATAAAATAAAATATTTAAAAAATAAAATAACATTATCCGTCAAGCCACGAGTCTCTCCTGAGATCCACCACGACAACACTGACATTGTCGGCGCTCTGCTTGGCCAACGCGAGTTTTGTCAGTAACGTGGACGCGTCCGTACACGTGCCGTCCCCCAATTCTTCCCGTCTGCTGCTGGATTCCGCCGAGGCCTCCGGCGACTGAGACATAACTCTCAGACATTTGCTCGCCACCCGGCACGCCATCTCGTTGGACACCACGTCCCACAGGCCATCGCTCGCCAGTATCAAACACTCGTCCTCCGCGGTCCGATCCATCACAGTCACCTCCGGGTCGCAGATCACGTAAGGTTTCAAGTAATTGTCACCTTCATTTCCACACAAACTCACCATTAACGAAACCCCAAATACCAGCCAATCCCATATACACACACACAATACATATATATGGAGCGCGACAAGAAAAGTAACAGCAGTGCAGTTCATTAGAACTAAGTATTAAAGTCTGTATTATGGAGTCTGTACTTAGTACTTACCAATGGCTCTTGACATGGCGAGAACACCGAGGACGCGTGGACCATCCCAATAAATGACTCGTCCGCCGGCGGTTTGGATCCGGTTCAGCTCGTCTGGACGGTCCGGCTGTTCATTTCCAAAAGATTTTCCCCAAAAAAATATAAACACATCAGGAGTCTCGACAGAGAATTAAAGTCAAATTAGTCTAAGGAAACAGGAACCGAGTGTACGTTCTTTTTTCCATTATACACTAAAGCCAAAAGTATGGAGACTTAGACCTGATATGAGAAAATGTTTGTATTACGAGAAAGTGAACAGCATGAATCAGCACGAAAGGGAGGATGAGGGTCATCATTAGTTCTTCTTTTCTTTCTTTCTTTCTTTCTTTCCGGAGTAAGTATTGCAGGCTTTTTTCACGCCTTCCAAACAGGGTCTAACATCACGAGTTTCTCATTCAAATCTACTAACATAGTGAGGGGGGCGGGGGGGAGAGAGAGAGAGAGAGAGACTAACCTTGTGATCCGAGGATAGGGGGATGGCTCTGGCGTTACGGCACAGAACAGCTCTTGAATCTCCGCAATTGGCAACGATGATTTTGTCCGGCGTAATTATCGCCACAACGGCGGTTGATCCAACAGCGTCGCATTCCGGCGTCTGGAGTTCGCATCTGCAGTTAGCACCAGCCCGTGCGTCGTCGTCCCATGCCACCACTTCCTTATCCATGCGCGCGAAGCTCCTCTCCATGACAGACTTCCACTCTACTTCTTCATCTTCCTCGCCCTTCTTCAGCAGTTCCTCCTTTACCAACTCGTGCAGCCGCTCCCTACACTTGACGGCCACCTAAAATCCATCACAGTAATTAAATTAAGGTGCTAATCTAAACATGAAGAAGAGATGATATGGACAAGCAGAGGAGAGTCAATTCGTACGTGAGAGCAACCATGCCCGTCGTAAACTCCAAAATAGTGCAACTCACAATCTTCGTCTCGCCGGGAAAATGAAGGATGAATTGCAACAGCGTCTTCCATGTCCCTCCTCCTCCCGCACACCGAAGCGACGCCGTATTTCAGGTACACACCCGCATCCCCTTTGGGATTTAATGGACGAGGATGATGAGAACCGGTGCTGGAACCCAAGACCTCTTCGGCTAATTCTGCAGACAGACTCTCACAGTTCTCCACCGCGTTCTCGCACTCCCTTCCAGACAACGACATAGCGGCGTCGTCGACCTGCAACTTCTGGCGCTTCGGATTATTTTCTTCTATCGACTGTTCCGATGGAGCCACCCCGGTGACGAACTTGAACCGTCGGATTTCCATCCTCCGCCTCCTCGCCGCTCGCGAACTCGAGTCGCACGGCGATGACACGTCACTCTCACCAACCACTCCGCAGCAGATTTCCGCCATGTTAACCACCTTGAGTCCTGTTAGTAAACCAATAAAATACTTCTCCGAGTTAATTAATCATTCTGAATTCATTTGTTTACTTAGCTTCCTTCGTCTAATTACTCACTCGACTCCGCCGTATTTCGAGGAAATGAGAACTCGGAAACAGAAGATAATTAGAAAACGTCGGCGCGAAGAAGAAAGGGTGCTTTATAAGGCCTACGGTAAAGAAGAAGAAAAAAAGATGAACAAGAGAAGAAGAATATGGTATAGCTGTTTTTTCTTTTATGTTGGGCCAAAAGGCAACGTGGCGGTGGGTGAGGTAAGCCACGAGGTCATGGGGGCAGCTGCCCGTCACCTCCCCGGGCAGACAAAACCCAAGAGTGAAGTACTTTTTGTACGTGACGTATAGTGCTCCTCTGCCCGAACTAACAAATCTCTACCGTCCATCTCACTCCTCATCTCCCCTCTAAAGACACCACGTGTACGTCCCATCAAGACTCCTTCTTACGTGCACCAATCAGATTCCAACACGCGACCAGCCGAACTTGCTTTCCTGACACGCATGTGGTCCTCCTACCTCTATTAAAATCTTCTCCCTCCCTTAATTAGCTTCAATTTTTACTTTAAAAATCTAACGCCACGTGTCGCATTGTCAAATAACATCTCCTTTTTTGAACAAGTTTAAATTTAAATTCCTATTACTTTATTCTGTTGGGGGCCCAACCAAAAGGCTCTACGTATGCGTTGCTGATGTTGACGTGGAGGTCCACCTGTCCACATCGTTGACGCCTAATAGAATATCTAGACGTCAGTTTCTTTCCTCGAAGCACACGTGTCGGAATCACAGCCCTCTCCATTGACCTCATTCTACTAAAATTCCATTCCTAGCCAAAACAGAAAAGGAAAAAATTAAACACCCACTAATTGTCGTATTAAACATGAATTAATACAAATTATTAGTCATAAACTCCCACTATTGAATTACCGAAACTACCCCTGGAACCGTACGCTAAAACATAAAAGCGAGCATATATTCAGGAGGAGCAGAGAAAAAATCAAACGACAACACGCGGCGAAGAAAGAGTGGACAACGTGTAAATTGACAGATATGAGTGTACGGTTGAGGTGGGAGCCACCCATCAATAAGAAGAAAAAAAGAAAAAAGAAAAGTATGAGCCCGGTTGATGTAGTCCACGTGTAAAATCGGGCTGGCAGGCAATTGTACTGTATCTGGGGCATGAAGTGACAGGAGGCAAAAGTTAGTGCCACGTGAAAGACCCCCCCCCCCCCCCCATTTTTAAGTTCAGGTTAACCATGGTTGAGTTAATATATTAACCATGGTTACGTTAAAATTATTTAATTATTTTATTTTTTTAAATAATTGATACATAATTACTAATTAAAAATTTTGAAAGTTTCATCTGGTTGTACCGAGCGTGGGATTTCTAATAGTGGGAAGGTGGGAGAGGACAGATGGCCGGAAGAGAAGGCCACGTAGGGAGAGGAGTTCAGGAAGATAATGGAACGTGGTCGTTTCGATAAAGGGCGAAGCGAAAGCCGGTAAAACACGTGTCGTCTAAATGGGCTTATCCGTTGCGTTTTGCGTGCATGGTGAGCACATTGCATGCGGACATTGATGTGATGGAAACTGTGGTAAATGAAGTTTTGTGTTATATACTGATTTTTTAATAATATATTAAAACTATTTAATTTAATATTAATTTCTCTAAAAATATCTTTTTATATTGTATATTCATGTTGAATGTATTAGGCACATTTAATTTTAAATAGACTCCGAATTGAATTGTTAAATATTACGTTATTAAAAAAAATTATTAAAATAATAAGTGTTGAGCTAAAATAATAATTCGATGTCTCAACTATTAATTTTTATTCTACTATTATTATTATTATTATTAAATTAAGTGTCACGTCAAATTTAATTGATGCATGATAGCTTTTAATTATCTCTGTGTAAGTTAAATATCAATTTAAATACTAAAAATTATTATATAAAAATCCGGCTGAACCGGTCCATAAATTTAAAAAGAAACATCAACCGCCGGTTCATTTTTTTAATTTGACCGAACCGGTTCGTATTTAATTTTTTCAATACCACGTGGTATTAAAAACCCAGTTTATATTTTATAATTATATGTATAAATTTCATGACCCGGCCCATTAATTCTATAAGTAACCATATGAGCCTCCTGCTACCCGAGTCACCTGGGGGTGCAATGAATGTCTACTATTTGAGATCTGAATTTATAATAAAATAAATAAATAAATAATCCTCTTACAATAACATGAAAGTTATCTATAGAAACTGTAATAGTAATGTTTGTTTTTGTGCGTATATATATACACACATATATAGATGTAATAATATGTATACGTCTCTTAGAAATCCCCGTCGTTAATTTTATGAACAAGGGACAGAAATATGAGCTTCATCTTCTCCAAAGCTTGTCCTGGAGTGCTGCAAACATATGGCGTCCGGCACCGCCTTCCGACTTGAAAAGCTATAAATATATAGTGCGTGTCCATATATATATATATATGTTAAGTTTATTTTTTTAATAAATTTATACATGTAATAAATATATACTAATTGTAGTATATAATAAACAATTCGGATCATAATTTTTTACAAAAAATATATCATACACTCTTAAACTGTATAAATACAACAGCATGATCAAAAAGAAAACTGTGTCAGAATTCTAATAAGTAATTTATTTTCTCATAATCTTAAATTAACAAATTTTCAATAAAAATTTGTACATTTTATTAATTATTTGATACATACACACACACATATTAATTATAAGATAATTTTTTAATAAAAATATATAATTTAAAAATAAAAATTTATACGTTTTATTAATTTAACTTTAACTTTAACTACGACACATATACATTAACAACAACATAATTTTTTAATAAAAATATATAGTTTAAAAATAGAAACACATATTTTTTATTAATTACACGATACATACACATCAACTGCAACGCAATATTTTAATAAGAACATATAATTTGATTCAAACACATAATTTTTTATTTAAATATTTTTTTAAAAAATTAATTATCAGAAAGATAATAACCATTGATAGTTGCTCCTCCGTCAACACAAACAGTTTGTTCCGTTACATAAGATGTTGCCGGTAGGGGCAAAGAAATATCACAATTGACAGATCCTTTATATTTGTCTCTCCGATTTGTTTTAAAGCAGTTCGAGAGATTTTGCAGTTTCTTCAATATGTTCATCAGCACGCTCAAGTAAAAACGATATATATTTCTCACACCTCACCAGTATACATATTACATTATAACTTTTAGAAATTTTAAGATTTCCAGTTAAATGTCGTCTAAACTCAGTATGTTGAGTTTTCTATGGAACAAATCGGAAACAGTTTTTGACTAATTTTTCTCTTTGATCTTGGAATATCAAGTTGCAGACCGAACCAGTGACTTGAAATCCCTTCGACTTCCCTCGAGTTAAAGCATTCATCAACCTGGGGCTGGTTCCAAGAACATGTATGCACCTTTGCACCCAAACTTGCTAGTTCCTCCACGATAGCATACCTTCAAATTTATGATAAACAAAATCAAAGTTAGAATATTACAATAACATAGAATTCAAATTCAAGAAGAAAAAAAAAAGAAATTATAGGTCCAAAACTATATATTTAGCTATTAAAATTAAGTTCAGATAGTTACTACTTCCTCTTACAAAGGCTTATTATCATATCCATCAGAAGTTTCTACTCAAATAATTCTATATATATATATATATATATAGCTTTTGAAATCAGCATATAGATATAGATACTTGAATAATATGTAATCCCATATAAGGGGGAGAGAAGAGAGAGAGAGAGAAACAAAACCCAATTCCTTGTGTTCCTCCTGTGACAAGAGCAGTCATCCCCTCAAGTGACCATCTGTTGATTTTCTTGCTGCTCTCTTCTCCGGCCATTTTTCTTTCTTTCTTTCTTTCTTTCTGAAGGTCTTTCCTCTTTCTCCTTACCTCTTTTCGTTATAATCTGTGATATATATACACACAAACACACGGACATATATACCATATGCATATAGCATTACCTTAGTTTAATTAAATAACTAGGCCACCCACGTGCATATATTGCATATTTTACCGAAGCCATCATGGCAAGCTTGGCTTATCAACTGGCTGATGATGTTGCTGAAAAGTAAGTGTATGTATATATATATACACTATATGTAGTTCATTCAAAATATTGTGTATATATATATATATATATATATATATAAAAGGTATATTATGTAAATCACATAAAAGAAGTAGCAGTAATTTTTTGGACGTGGCTGCTTGACTTGATCATTATATTCTCCAACTATATTAATCAATTAACTACGGTAATTATTTTTTGAAAACAATTAAACTAATTTTGGGCAAGTTCCCATGTTAAATTTAATTCCTTTAGTGTCTAGTTTTATATATATATATATATATATATATAATTTTATTTTATGGAAAAGACAGCATTTTTATTAGAATTTTTAATTTTTGGAAAAAAAAAACAAGAAAAATATATCATTGAAAAATTTACGAAAGTAGGTACATGAATAAAAATTATTTTTGGTTTACATTCAATGAATCTTGGCACTATATATAATTTTTAATTAATTAGTTTATTAAAAAATTAATTAATTATTGGTGTCACACTTTGATTAAATTCATTCATGAATAATGCATAAAATCTTTTCATTGATTTAAAGAAAATCTCTTCTTAAAAATCTTTTAATTTAAAAAAGATCTCTTGAAGATTTCTTAATTTAAATTAAATAATATCTGTTCTTACTTAAATATAAGAAGATCTCTTGATTTTTTAGAAAAGTAAATATTGACTTCACGTGTTTAGTATCATCTCTTTGAAAAGAAGTGGTCGATTAGAAAATATATAATTATATTCTCAATATTTGATTCTCGAGAGTCTATAATTTTGTAGACTCTTTGTATTTGTGTTGCTCTTAGGGGACTCTTTCTTGCTCTTGATTTTTGTTGTTTTTATTACTCTCACGAGATTCTTTTTGTGTGGTTGAGAATTTTTGGTGCTTTCAATTTTTTTGGATTATAGAATACTTTAGTGGTTTTTTTCCTTTCACGTATCTATCCCTTACTATAAACTTAAAAGTCTTCTTTGAGTCTATTGGTTTATGTCCTCGTGATATTCCATCCATAAAGCGCAAATGCATCTTGAATTGGGTTCATCTTAGACTTCTCTCCATATGGATTTTGCTCAATTCAAGAATTGTATACTTTCTTCCGCTTAAATGGACCAAGCCGTGAGACTCTTTCCTTGTAATCTCCTTGCCATGACTTTCACGCTTCATGAGGCCTAAACTGTGGCTTTTTAAGATCATGAATTCATGAACTTTCTACATAATTCCTCGTGTGGCCGTGAGCTTCCGTGTAAGCTCCCATGTGATCGTGAGCTCTATCTTAAGTTAGGCCTTGTTCTCCTTCAATGTGACCATAACCTTTTAAGCTTATGTAACCATGATTTTCTTTGTGATCGTGAGCTTTTAAGCTTGTATAATCTCCCATGTGATTTCGAGTTGTGTCTTGATCATGAATTAGAACTTATCCAATACAAATGTAGTACATATTTGAGTGACATCATGTGTTTATCAATATATAAGTAACTAATACAAAATATTGATACACATATTCCCACTAGCAACATTACAACTGTAAGTAATTAAGGTTCATGTTGATTAGAATTTGACAATTTATAGAACACTACAAATCACTTGTTGGCTTATTCTTAAGTAATCAGGGTGCAGCCATTCACTGTTAGACCTCCATCAACGCAAATGGTTTGTCCTGTTATGTAAGATGCTGGCAGGTAGGCAAAGAAATGCCACGACGGAAGAGACTTCCTTGGGTTCTCCGATTCATCCCAATGGTGTCCGAGAGATTACAGCATCCCGAGTTTTTTCATTGTTGAGAAACTGCATGAAATATATGAACAGAATGGTGAGAAGGGAAGGGAATTGAAGAGATGGAATCTGTTTCATAAACTTGACCAGACACAGCACTAATTTGAGGGAAAAGATAAGCAAGTTACAAAACATTTTGCAGAAAAAATAAAAGGATTATTAGATAGATAAGGAAAGTTGAGAGCCAAAAAGAAAAACAAAAAAGAAGGATAGACTGACAAAATCTGAAAGAGGATAGCCAGCTAGCCTCTATGTCGGGAAAAATCGTGATGGCCGAAAGGACTGAAAGAGATCGAAAGAAGGGATCAACCAATTAAAAAGACACCCATTACAACAGCATAAGCATATTGAAAATGATTATTATGTCTTTAGCATTGGGAGTCCTGATGAACCAAGGTGCAACAGAATTAGTCCTTATATTGTCTTCTGCCCATTCACATGCCAAGTTCTTGGTACGTTGGTTAAGCGCTCCTGCAAAATTCACAGAACATTGTTTAATTTAGCTTCAGCTGGATCACATGGCCAGTTCTAATAGAGTCTCCTCCAATTACAGAACCCTTAAGAACCTATCTTGGAATAAATTTCGGAGTTTGGTTTACAAGTAGCTATGTACCTTTAGTTGCACTGTAGATAGACCCAACATTAATGGATACAACACCAGCTGTAGAAGACAGAAAAACAATACGTCCCTCTCCTGAATTGTTCAAAAGGGAATGTGCGAGTTGGCATATGTGATAAGCAGATTCAAGATTGGTAGCCAAGAGGAATGAGAAATCCTCAGATGTGAAATCTAGAGTTTTCTTGCATATATTTGCAGCAGTATTGTTTATCTAGTTCAGTGAAAAGAATGTTGTTACATGATATGTATATAAACTGCTATGCGAATAAGAGACATATTAACGGAGACACAAGCACACATATGTATATACATTTACCAATATGCCAACATTAATAAAAAAGAAACATTAACTAATGAAGGAAATGAATGCTTACCAATATGTTCAATTTCCCATGAAACAAGGTGGAGATGGTGCCCATTAGCTCTTCCCGTGCAGTTCGCAATGATACATCACAGACTGAACCAGTGACTGGAAAACCCTTCGCCTGCCATTCACGTAAGCATGCATTAAGCTGGTCCTGATTTCGAGAGCATGTATGCACAGTTGCCCCCAGTCCTGCCAGTTCCTCCACAATAGTCTACCTGATGAAATGCCTTTGTATTTGAGATTCATTATAGTATAATAAAATTATAAACATAATTAAAATTTAAAATTCATGAAAAATCAAACAACAAATAGTCTGTTTTATAGTTCACGTCCTGTGGACTCAAGAAATTATATTCATGTGTGTAATTTAGTTCAATCCTTATTTTCATGTAGACAGAAATTAAGTCAATGCTGTCTGTTCAAACACCATAATTCTATTTCATAAAAATAATAATGAAAGGATAAACAAACAGCAGAAAAGAAAGAAAGGAAGAAAGAAAATAACCCGAGCCCTTTGGTTCCACCTGTGACGAGCAATCATCCACCTGTAGAGACCATCTGCTCTTGCGACAGCTTTCTACACCTTCCATCTTTCACTGTGTTGTTGTTGCTGCTAATAAAAATGCTCAAAAGACATATATAATATGATATCTTGTTACTCTTATGCCTGAATAACAGGAATTAGTACCAAGCAGTACCGAAATATGACAGCGACAATAGCAACTATATTTAATGTTCCAACATGCATAAGTTTAGCTTTTTTTAAAATAAAAAAGAGTACACTTGCAGCCCAAAACTTAAGACTTCATATATTTTCTAGAGTTCGTTTTATTCATACAGTACTGAAAGGAAATTTCTAAATAAGAAGTGAAATTCAAACTTTGACCTGAATATAAGCATGATTAAATTCAAAGTGAAATAAGCATGACTGAATTGAACATCAATGAGAAACCATTGATTTGTCAAATATTATTTTTATCAGCATTTAGACGCTCAACATAATTGAAAAGTCACTATCTCGAGTATGGTACTGAAAGTAAATTTCTAAAGAAGTGAAATTGAAATTGGATAAAGATGACTGAATTGAACATCAATGAGAAACCTTTGATTTTGTCAAATATTGTTCTTAGCAGCATTTAGACACTCAACATAATTGAAAAGTCACTATCTCAAGTATAGAAGCTTAAGCAGAAGAATAACAAAAGTCTTATCTTAAAAATGTTGCCTACTACAAACAAATAGCTGACCACTTCTTGAAGAGAGTACAAGAAGATAAGAAAAGCCTGGTTCAAGCGAGACATTATTACCCTGACCAGGGTGAAAATCTCATCTTAAAAATGTTTTTGCCTACTAAGAACAAATAGTTGACGACTTCTTGAAGAGAGTACAACAAGATATTGTGGTGATTAACGCTAACAAACGCAGTTATGGCTGTTAGTCATGTACTGGGTAGAAACCATTCACAGACATCCCTCCATCAACACAAATAATCTGGCCTGTGATGTATGACGAAGCAGGTAAGCATAGAAACGCCACCAGCGATGAAACCTCTGTTGGGTCTCCAAGACGTCCAAGAGGGGTTCGAGAATATACCTCTTCTAGATATTCTTTATTGCTAAGAACCTGCAATAGACATCACAAAGGTTAACCAAGTCTATTTATTCAAGATATGAAATACTGTCCCTCCATGAATTGCTTAGCAAGGTAGAGGGAGAGAGAGTAAAATCAGAGGTGATTATACTGTGAGCATTTTTTTTGTCATAGTAAATGTCTATGTAGGGCTTGACACCAAGCTCTCTAAGTGAAGAATCTAGACACAACTAGCTGGACTATCTGGACCCGCCAAATCTACTGTGAACCTTAAGGCAGCACAAAGTGCACCAAATTAATATGACAGGAATAAACAACCATGTTAGGGATCCTAAGCACCAAAAATAAAATTAATAATAATAATAATCATAATCATCATCATCATCATCATTCGTGATTAATTATTTCTAGTTTGAGGTATTTGGGTGTTTTTTATCTGTGTTTGTGGTTGATTTATGTGTTTATGTGTGGGCAGTACAAATGGGAATTTTAATTTTCTGAGATTATTGCTTGGAATTATTATTGTCTATTATGATGAAGATTGGAGGTACTTTGGACGATGAGGTGTTCATGCCATACTTGGTCATGGAATCTGGTTCAGATTTCAGAGAAGACAATTTTCTAAGGTAACCTGGTCTTAGACCATGTAATTTTCTGAGGTTATTTCTCAGAGTTATTATTGTATATTATGATGAAGAAAAATACAGCAATATATAGGAGTAGGATTACACCAAGAAACCCTGACATTCTATCCTAAATTCGGAGATAAGAGTTCGGGAGGAAATATTTTTTTTGGAGGATCTGGTTATTGAATGACTGATTTATGAATCAATTAAATCTATGATTACACACAATCCCTCATTATTATCACTTTGCTGATCTAGAATCCTACAGGAATAAACTCTGTCAACTAACCACAAGTGTATATGATTTACCCTAAACATTTCCTAAAGTAGAAAATACAGTAAGTTAGCATATGACACTTGCATTACATACAGAGTATGGTGAAGTAGAAAATAATAACAGATGCAAAGACAATTACTTGCTCGACCATAGAAGTTCTGATGTACCAAGGTGCAACAGCATTGCTCCTGATATTGTCTTTTGCCCATTCACAAGCTAAGCTTTTTGTTAGTTGATTGATTGCTCCTGGGAATAGGAAAAAGAAACAGTGGACTAGTTTCTATGACCTCTCCAAGCATACACCCAACAAATGCACAGAATTGAATTCATGTCAAGATAAGTTGATAACCTTTGGTTGCACTCTGTACAGACATTGACTTCAGGGAGACAAAACCAGACACTGAAGACATGAATACAACATTTCCTACACCAGATGCTTTCAGGAGTGGATAAGCAAGTTGCGACAGATGGAAAACAGATTCAAAGTTGGTTGCCATGAGAATAGAAAACTCTTCACTTGCGAATTCAACAATTGGCTTCCGGATATTTGTGCCAACATTGTTAACCTATAAATTAAAAAAAAAAAAAGGGGGGAAAAAAGAGTGGATTAAGAAAGAAGCCTCAAACTCAACAAGCAGGAACTACAATGTAACAGCACCGAGTGCCCAAAACCCGTGTTTATGCTTCTGCTTTGAGTACTTTGAATGTAGGATTTTTTTTTTTTTTTTTTTGGAGATCACTGGAAGTAGAGAGTTTGATTTTACTCCTGATAACCTATTATTTGTGTGCATTTGCAAAGTTTTAAAATCTAGTAGGTAGCATATTGTATTAACTAAAGTTTGCGACTTGATTTAGAAATCCCAAAGTTTAAGACCTCACACAACTAAGCTTCATCATCTTGAAACTCTAAGTGTTACTTAGCATTCAACCCCTTTTATGATCTGCTTAAAAGCTCAAGATAAGGAAACAAAGAGTTGAATCCCCTACTTGCCAAGGAGTAGTGAGAGAGATAGATGAGTTTGAGAGTTTGTGATGCGTTGAATATTTATTTTATAATTCAGGAACCAACACCAACGCCTGTAGTGGCTTGTAGTAACACAAATAATCAAATAAGTTAACAAATTCGATAATCAAATTCAGTAATTAATTTCTACTACAGAAGTTAACACACGGATGATATAAGTTCAGCAAACATGTCTACTTATTATCAAACCAATATACCTCCCTAAAACAAAATTAAGCATGAAATATTGGGAAAATAAAAACTATGATAATAATTAAAATAGCTTAATTCCAAAATATTCAGGATGGTATAGGAAAAGCAAAGTAAAAGTAATAGAATTTTAGTTTTAATTCGTGGAAGATACTAAAAAAGAATAAGAGCAAGAATAATTGAGTTACATACTTAGCTATACAAATTAACTAATAATTAGCCGCTAACTGCCAATATTCAGATTTCTAAGAGAAAATTCTTTCAAATATTAAACTAGCTAACTATTAAAACTTTGAACAAAACGTTCAAGTCACATTTCTCTCTTACCACTTCCTGTCAACTATGAGATTCACCCCTTTGTTTCTTTATCTTGAGCTATTAAGCTGCTTGCTATGCGGCATATAGAATTTTGTTAAAAAAACTCAAGCTTTAGTTGATACAATATCCTACCTCCTAGATTTAAAAACTTTGCAAGCACATCAAATATTTCTACCTATAGGAAATTAAAATCTAACGAAAATAGAAACATAAAAGGGCATTTAGACACATAGGATGTATTTGATTGACCCATACTCCATTCTCATTCAATTCTTATATTTAAATTATTTGTTGTCTAAATGCTTATCAGAATTTACATATTTTATGCACAAAAATTTAATCAACTGTACTCATCTTTAATTTCAAAACACAAATTTGTATTCCCAACTAATAAAAGAGACATCACATAATTTGAATTGGACATGAAGCTGACTTGAAATTGAAATTAATTCCAAGTCTCTCACAGGCAAATCAACAAACAGAACAAGTGCTATCCCCACACAAAGATGTAGTGCATGCAGCCATTGGAAGGGACACTAGAAGAGCTTTACAAGGATATTAAGCTTCCCGTCAAGCACGGAGGCCACGGTCTCCATCAACTCCTCTCTCTGTACTCCCAAAGACACATCACATACCGACCCAGTAACCGCAAAACCCGAATCATCCCAGTCTTTCAAGCATTTCTCGAGCTCACTCTTGTTTCGGGCGCACGTGTGCACTCTCGCCCCTAGCCCCGCCAATTCCTCCACTATCGCTCGCCTGTAAAATGTACCCACTTCAAGATTGACCCAAATCTCCTGTAAACAGTCTGTAAACGAACGTGAACATGAAGAATTGCGCGTACCCGATTCCACGAGTACCGCCAGTAACGAGAGCGGACTTCCCGTCAAGAGACCATCTGCTGAGCTGTACATTGATGCTGTCCTGAGTAGGAGTATGTGACATTTTGCGACACAGAGTAATGGGTTTTGCAGAGCAAAACGAAATGGGAGCTTTCGGTGTAATGGGAATGGAGGCGAGGGTTAAGTGGGGTTTAAGGGAAGACGAAGGTGAAAGCAGAACTTGCAGAGGCATTGCCGTGCAAAGTGTAGACTGTAGAGTTTCTCAGGAAACTAGAAAAGGCGCTTGGTAGGGGGGAGCAACCCAACCAGTTAAACCGGTCCATTTCGGTTAGTTAAATCGGTTAACCGGTCCAATTAGAACCGAAAGTAAAGTCCTCGAATCGGCTCGGTTCTGATTTCCAGATTTGAGAACTGAAACCAAATGATTAGCCAAAACATTTTTTTTATTATTACATGTAGAATTTAATTAAATTAAAAATATATAAAAAAATATATATGGGAAAAAAGCCTATAAAGCTGAGACATTTTGAGATCTATTAAATTCAATCAATAATATTATAATTGATATTAATAATTAATCTTTCCTTAAAAAGGATTATATTAATAATTAATTAATAATCAAGTATAAGTTGGTCCTTCTTAGGAAAGGAATTAATGCCCGTATATATCGAAACAATTTATGTAAACAATTAATATTCTATAATTTCAAGAATTTCTACTTAATTATTAACAAAAATCAAATTTCAAATAGAAAAAAGAAATAATTAATTATTTAAACCACTAATATTCTAAAATTTAAATAATATGTATAAAAATCTCTAAATTAATATACATATCATGCAACTTTTTAATTAAAATTCTGTAATTTTAGCAACTAATTGACACTAAATTTTTATATTTATGCTGACGTTCAAATTCTATTTATATTATAAATTGATAGTTACCGAGTAACATATGTCCGAAAAACCCTTTGCACATACAAAAATACTGGAATTAAAATTAAATTGTTGATTTATTTTTAACTTTTATATCCATGTGAATAAGATAATTAGCTCATTTAATATATAAAAAAAATAATAATAATAACATTATTTGAACACATTAATATTTTAAAAATAATTAATCTTCTCTCATATTATATATATTATTTACACAGTAAAATTAAATTGTCTTATTAAATTATAAAAAATAATAAATTGA